AAAATTATAATTTAAAGAATGACAAGACATGTAAATATGAAACACTGTGAGGCAGTTGGAATCTTTTCAGAGGCAGAAACAATGGAAAGGCGTCAAGAGGGGATGTGAGAGGGGATTTGGCAAGCGCCGTGCCGCTCTGTCAGGTGAAACTGTCATTCGAGTTACATCAAGACAAAAAGGTGTATGCTTTCCGTATCAATCATCGATCATGTTTGCTCTGTGTTTGCCCCAGAAATGTGAATTAAAGCAAATGGGAAATTAAAAGTCAGGCTCCAGTGCTGGGTTTGCTTTATTTGGTGAAGGTAACTAAGTAAGCTATCTTACTTTTTCTCATCCCTACAAGTGAGGCGGGTAGAATGATACAGCTTGGTAGTTTGAGCGAGTTGGGACCACAGCAATTAGTGTTAAATGAGTCAAATAAAAGGAAAACCCAGCCAGAATCAAGTGAAGCCCTTTTGGAATAATGGCTTTCCGCTGTCTCAGAGAAACTCATCACACTGCAACAGGGCCACATAGCAAAGCTCTCACCCAGCAAGGCTGCCTGCTGTTCTAGTGAAGATTAAGCAAATCCGGAGTTCCCCAGGATCTCATTCAGACTGTTTGAGATTTAAAAAGAGTTTCCAAACTTGAGATGCTAAAGTCAACATACATGAAATAATAAATGTCTGATTATGTGAATGATAAAAGGCAAGGTGTGTTGTGATGAGTAACTATTCTTACTTTTTGAATTACATTTTTATCATAAAAGGCTTCACTTAAAGTTATGCTCCTAAAGTTGTGCTAAAGATTAAAAAGAGTCAGGTGAGTATGGAAAAGGAAGCAAACAGAAAATTGACAAAAATTAAAACACAGTAAGATTGAAAGGCAGAGTCTCATCCTTACAGTAGTAGAGCTGAGTTCAGAACTTTACAAGCAACCAATGGGTAGGCGCCAGCCGAGACATTCAGAACGCATAAACGTTGCCACAGTGAATTGGAGACTGGGCCTTGGGTATTAAAAGGTTCCCGTCTTTTTCTCAGCCCAGTATCAGGCATCTACCTGCTTGAGGGTCCTCTCTGCTTGCACACTCACGAGGAAACACACAAAGGAACACTTGGAAATGAAGCAGGGCTTGGAGCATCCTGTAAATACAGTAACAGATTTTCCAAGAATTGTGCTCAGAGTTAGTGGAAACCAAGGGTGAAGAATGAATGGGCTTCCACAGCAAATCTGCAAAGGGTTATCTGACCCTCACCTCAGTCACCAGCACAAGCGAGAACAGAAACAAAGAGGGTGTTATAAAGAAGACATTAAAACAAACACATGTACAACATTGATAAGCATTGCGCTCAGAGGGAGGAAAGAATGGGAAGGATGGAAAGTCTTCACGCGAGCCAGTCTTTTTGATGAAAGCGTATTTCCTTTTTTCTTCTGGACTCCTCTACAAAACAGTGCACAAAGTGCTTATTTTATTTTCTTTGTTTTCATCCCAAGGCTGGAAGATCAAAGTGTTAATAAAACCTCCTTGCTATGGAAGGTCATTACAACCCTAAATGCAGCAATTCAAAGTGGAAAATAGAACAAATGCCAAGGAGATGCTTAACGAAGTAACATTCTAGATGTATTCTTTGAAGAACATTTGCAGACTCGTTTGATTGCTTTAGAGTGTGTGGAGAACACTGCGTGCATGGAGTTAACCCTAGCTGACTGTTGTGTTCTGGCAAATCAATGCAGATCATTCAGAATCACCAGTATTTTTGCTATAGAGTTATCTCATATGGTTGGAAATATTCATGAGTATTTTGCATAGCAAAATGATATTTAAAACCTCCACATCCTTTTTCCTTTGGGCCTAATTAAATGCCCAAGTATAACATGTGTCTATTCATTTGAAAAATAACTTAAAGCACTAGTCTTGCAAGAACGGACAGAGTTGGATGGCAAGATAAGGGCTTCTCTTCATGTTTCCCACTCACTCTTGCTATGTTTCTTTTTTCTAACACGTTACTCTTTTTTTAGGGCTAACATCTGTGGAATGGGAGCACACACAGATTGGAAAGCAGTGAACTTGCCTATGTGACCATATCAAATTACTCAAAGGAGACTGGCTTTGCATTGGTCTTGCACTTCCATGTGACTTGTTAGAGTTTGCTATTTACTCTATCGTATTGTCTACTTCTGATCCCCCTAAATTCAGAGATTGAAACCTAACATTCATTGCAATGGTGTTGAAAGGTCAAATCTTTATGAAGTGAGATCTCATGAGGAGAGACATCTCAGAGACAGCATAAGTGCCCTTGTGTTTGTGAAGAGGCTGGAGGCACTGGCTGGACACTTGTGCCACTCAAGGGCAAAGCTAAGAAGGCAAATGATCGCTCAACCAGGAAAGAGGCCCTCGTCCCACAGGAGACAACTGGCATCTCCGACTTCTCCGCCCCCAGAACTGTGAGAAATTAATTTCTGTTGCTTATAAATTTTCCAATTGGAGATATTTTGTTAAAGGAGTCTGAATGGACAAGACACAGTGGCCCTGGCGTCTCAGCATTGGGACCCTCGAGACAGGTTTCTTCCTTGTAAAGGAGTGGCTGTAAGGTCCAGAACATCGAAGTGACCCTCCTTCTGGAAGAGTCACAGCTGGGAGGAAACACAGAGGCAAACCGTAAAGGTTACTTATAGTCTATGAGAACTCGTCAAATGATTTTTCCCACTACTTCAAAATTTTGGGGGATGCAAATTGTTTTGCTGTTAAGTAACAGGTGCTCTTTTCTGGGCCAGGCTGGAAAAGTGGCTGAGTTCGTGTTCAGATAATGGCTTTCAGAGGAAGCGTGTAAGGAAGCAGCAGCATCAAAATTTTAAAATGACTGAGATTAAGTGTAAGCTGTCAAACTTCTTAGTTATTTAGGGGCAAATCATTGACCTATTTTGCTTTTATGAAACGAATTGTTCTGAAGCCCCACAGAAAGTTATTCCCGATGCCAGTGAAAGCTTTTTCTCTTCCTGCACCAGTGGTGCGAGATGCCTTCCTGCAAGGAAACCACCCTGCAGATCTGGCCAGAGGGAAAATTACTGGGCCACAAAACGAAAGGGAGGCGTAAGTCAGCCCAGCTTGCTGAGCCTTAGGAAAAGAAACTTCCCTCTGCTCATGAAAGAGGGCGATTGTACTCAGGACCACTTATCCGGTGCCAACAGTCTCGTCAGCCCTCTATTCAGGGCTCTACCAGGGCCGCGGCAAGGTGACCCGGAGTTTGGGGCTGAGGTCAGGGAAAGGCCACTGCTGGAAAATGAAACAAGTCAAAAGGAAAGAATCCTAGGAATGGATGAGGTTACTCACCCACAGAAGTAATGCGATCTGCGAGATCATGCAGAAAAGCATTTTTAAGAAGAATACGAGGCTCTAAGAGTTTTAAATAATCCAGTGAGCTGCTGTTAGGATGCCCCAAAGTGTGGCTGTAGAAATCAGCATTTTGGCATGAAATTGCCTGTAACTTCCTGTATCCTTTGTCTCTGGCTTTTGGTTCCCTTGATTTCCTCTTCTCCTCTCTCTTTCTCTCCTTTCTTCCCCCACCCCAACTTCAAAACCAAGGGAGAGACACTGGACACCAAGATACTATCCTGCTGAGTTTTATTTAATAGCTAGCCAGCTTTATTTATTCAGTTTATTAGTACATGTTCGCAGTCCTTAATGATAGCATTCCGCATGGAGAGTTACTGCGTGCACAGACTGCATCTTACTTCTTCTGTCACCCCTTTGTCCTCCACTGCTCACCCCCTCTCTCCATATCTGGGTCCCCTCCCCTCTTGAAAAAGTTCTGTCTCCTTGTTCCCTATCATCTATCTCTTCTTGTGCTCTTTAATTTATTTATAATTTGTGTTTCTCTTGTAAGAGAACCCATGCAGTATTGAAGCTTGTGTGTCTGATTCCTTAAGGGACTCAAATTCATCTTTCTTAACAGTGGAGCAGCACTGCGCTGAGCGTAGATGCCATGTTTTCTTTACTAATTCACCAAAACCAGCTCTGAGCTGGCTGGTCAGCTCCCCTCCAACAGCTTCCCTAGTCTCTGTGTAAAGTCAGCACGTAGATACACTTCTCAGTGATGGCATCAGATGGCTTTGGCGTCTCACAAGCTCTGTCTTACATAAACCTTCTGAAGACTAAAAGAGCCCTTGTGCTGGGTGTGTGTCTGCTCCTTCCTCACTTCTCCCAGTATACATGGGGTGGATGTGGACTGTCACGGGGCGGGTGCCTGTACAGAAAGAAAGAGCTGAGTGAGCAAATGGGGATGCAGTTACTTACTTTTATCTTTTAAAAAATACTAAGTGGTGTTTTTCCCCTGAATGACAAAAATAACAACATTTCATAAACAAATCACATAAAAAACTGTATTGTATTCCCTTTGAACGGAAATTTCATATTTTACATAGGTGGCCAAAAGCTGGTGTAAGTAAAGTGTTCATTATTAAACTGGTTTCTCTTTTACAGAAACAGAAAAATCATAAACTTAGAAAGTATTCAATTACTTATTTTCAGGGTATAGAGGGATGGAAAAGGAGTTTCAAAGTTTTTGTTTTATACTTGTCACGAATTCGTATAAGCAAATCAATTGCATACAAAATAATTTTATGAAATTACTTTTAAGAGAGTCAGTTTCTATAGATAAATTTCAGTGGGTCGTGGAACATAATTCTTTTAATATGAGCTCCTTAGCTTTATTAGTGCATTATAAATTATTTATCTTATAAAACATACATTAAAAATAGGATTAGAATGTCTTTGGTTCCTATAGCTCACAGTACTAAGTTAAAATAATATAGTGCATGCGATACAGACAGAAATGTAAATGTGGCCTAACAGAATCTTTCTGAGTCAATTTCACATTAAACATTGAAGAAAAGTTGACTTATCTTAAAATGAAGCAAGTCACTACATCACCCTGCTACAAGCAAATGTTTCTTTGTAAATAAGGATGAGCTGACAATGCTTGAAAGCGTAGTTCATCAAAATCACAACAAGAAACCAAATATTATGAACGTGTAAAATTCCATGTTTATTTAATATCCATTACATAGCGGGTTCATTGAAACTAGACTTTGTAAAGACAAATAACATTTCTGATGAACATAAACAATTTCATACAGTTCAATCCCATCCTGTGTCTTCACATGAATAAAGATGTCATTATGCAAGAGTTCCAGCAGTAAAGACCTCGTGTGGAACTGCGGCGGTATTGCTCAGGGCTCCTGGGCCGCTTGGGCCTTCATGCATTTGGGAGACAGGAACGACTCTGCACCGGGGTCAGTGGCAAGAACCTCCCTGGCCCTGCGTTGTGGGGTGTCACCTGCTCCTTTTCGGAGGATGTGGCCAGAGCTAGAGAGGGAGATTCCTTGGACAAATGTTTTTGAAAAGGTAAAGGAAATGCCCAGATAATGAAATGTGCTCGCTCTAAGTAGTCAAGGAGAACTATGGGTTATGTACAGTAATGGGGTCAGTGATTATTGTGTATTTCTACATTTGCTGATGTTTATTAATGTATTAATAATGTATTAATGTGCCAGGCATTGTGTTAAACAATTTACATGTCATAGCTCGTAAAATGAAGACACACAAACTTTATGAGGAGTCCTATAGTTAGCTCCAGAAACCAAGAACACAATGTCATAGGCATTAAGAGTCCGAAGTAGAAGGTCCTCCGTGTCATCAGACCCAGTTTAGGGATGCCTGGTAGCTTCCTATGCCAGCATTGTAGATAAATAGTTTTCTCAAACCCATTCTTAGTGCTTTTCTGGCTTGGCTTTCTCATATATAGAGACTGGAAAGTTAATGTTTTTTGCCATTCTTGCTTTTTATGCAAAAAACCCAAACAATTTCATATAATATAATAGGAGAGCAGCAAGAGTTAACTCACTGTGTACTGTTATCTTCAGAGTAGTTATTCAGAGTACAAGATATGGGCATGGAAAATTCTGCAAACTGAATAGCACAAACTTTCTTTTCAATGAACTAAGAGAAACTAGTAGTATAACCATCATGTATTTTTTTTTCCTTTTCCCTTCCTTCCTTTCTCCTTTCTCCCACAATCCATAAGTGGGCATCTGAGATGAATATGCACTTCTCAAATGAAGAAATACAAATGGCAAATAAGTATATGAAAACTGGTCAACAACACTGGTCATTCAAGAGATGCAAATTAAAACAACAGTGAGATTCCACCTCACTTTTTTTTTTTTTTTTTTTGAGATTCCACCTCATTGCAGAAATAACAGCATCATCAAGAAATCAACCAACAACAAGTGCTGGAGAGGCTGTGGGAGAAAGGAACTCTTCTCTGTTATTGATGGGAGTGTAGACTCGTATAAGCACTGTGGAAATCAATGTGGCGATTCTTCAAAAACTATGAGTAGAGGTCCCAGTTGCACCAACTATTCTCCTTCTGGGTATTTTCCTAGAAGAAATTAAAACACCATATCACAACAGTATATGTGCACCCATGCTTACAGCAGCCCAATTTATAATAGGTAAATCTTGAAAATAACCTAAATGCCCATCAACCAAAGAATGGATAAAAATGATGTGGTATTTTTATAAACAGAGTACTATTCAGACATAAAGAAGAACAAACTTGAGACATTTATAGTTAAATGGATGCAACTTGCGACCATACTCGTAAGTGAAATAAATCAGACTTACATAGGTAAACACTGTATTGTCTCACTGGTGTGAGAAACTGGGAAAGTAAATAAGATCTAAAATGCATGGGGCTGGGGATAGCTCAGCGGCATAATCATCTGCCTTGCAAGCAGGCAGTCGTGAGTTCAATCCCTGGTACCGATAAAAAGGAAAAAGACAAAAAAAAAAATGTACAGCAGATATTGTGAAATGGGAAGAAATTATTTGAAAGGAAAGAGGAACTAGAGAAGGATAACTGGTCCATATGTCTATCAATAGATGAATTAATAAAGAAAATGTAATGTTGCACACCGAGGAGTCCTACTCCACCATAAAGACTTGAGTCATTTGTAGGAAAGTGCATATACCATGAGGCCATAATGTTCAGTGAAATAAATTGGACACGCAGCTCAAATATACCATGCTTTTTCTTATATAAGAAACCCAAAGTGTAAATCAAGGACAAAATGACAGATGATCAGAAGTGGGGAGATGGACCTTTCTCAAATGGGAAGGGTATTATAGAAGCACTATGATGTGTATGTCCTTGTGCCAACTCCACTCAAGGAGTATACGCATCTATTGTAAATATGTATAAAAAATTTAAAACAAACAAGGATCATCAAAAAGAATTCTTTGAAAATGACAAAGGAATCATATCTAGAATATAAAAAGCATTGAAAAAATCAGATACCCCAAATTCAAAGACCCAATCAAAAAATGCAGAGGACATTCATGCACATAACACATCTTAGATCTTTCTGCATCTCCTTCTCTCCTCTCCCCTCTGCCCTCTTCCTCCATCTCTCAGTTCCTTCCCCAAATAGGTGCTTATTGTGATACTCACGATTCCTGATAGCAATATGCCAAGTATTGCTTGTTAATTCAATTAGAATCTGCAATGAAACAAAGGAGGCTTTAATAGTATATATTTATGATACATAACAATTGCACTCAACTGATACACATACACTTAGAATCTTGGTCCCTTTATTTTTCCTGCCCACTCCCAACTCCCTCGTCCCTCCTTGCCTGGGTCCCCTGCCCATCAGTGCAGAATGTAGCATGTCTCATTTATATTGCTTTTTATTTATATTTTGAGTCTCTCATATTAGAGAAACCACATTGTATTTAACCTTATTTTCGTATTTTACTTAGTATGAGGTCTTAAGGGCCATCCATTTTCCTACAAATGGCTCAAGTATATCCTTCTTTATGGCAGAATACTACTCCACTGTGTATAAATACAGCATTTTCTCTATACATTCATCTGCTAGTGGCCACATAGGACCTTTCCATGTTTACCTATTATACATTGTGCTGCCATGAACATACACATGTATGTATCACTGTAATATGAAGTCCTATAAAGGGTATGTCTGGGTTGAATGGAAATTCTATAATGTTTTTGCCTTCCAGTTTTTACATTCCAAGCACAACGCAACATCTTTACTCTTAGGAGTGGCCATGAGATGGGTCCTGAGTAAGTTCCCAGTTAGGGCTTCTAAGACTCTTTGCAAAGGAGACTGACTCGCGATTTTGTTACCCCTGCTCTTACCTGTTCTGTATTATCCAGCCTCTGATGTATGGAGTCACACAAGCATTGCTCTCTGCTAGGCCATGTTATTTTGGCTTTCTGCTACTTATGGCTGACTCTGCAGAGTATCCAAAGCTACTTTATGAAGTTTTGTGACTAACTAAGGGATGCAGAACATGATCACTAATATCCATCATGTACAAGGATAAGTGAATTGTATTATCTTAATTGTTGTAGGTTCCATGCCATGTTTTTACAATTAAATTCATGTCACATGCTTTTGGTACTGGCAATAGCCCATCTCCAACATCACTTCTCCACACAGGAAAAACTAAGATAATTCCTCTATGCAAATGTGCCTGGGAAGAAAAACTACAGCACTGAACAGAGAATCCCAGAACCTAGAACTGGATTGATTGGAAGCCCAACAGAGAAGGCAGAAATCCAGGAGTGAAAACAAAACTTTCTGGAGAAAATGAGACGCTCAAAACATTTTATGCTTTTTCAGTTAAATGGAACAAAATCTGCTTTCTAACCACTCCCCTGTGCATGGCTGAAATTGCGCTTCCAACACCTACTGAGTGTGGAATGTTAAATAAAGCTGTTTCACCTTCTGAGATTACTGTATTTTTTCACCCATAAAATCGACATTTTACAATTCATCTGATGGTTTTAGAGTTGACCAAAACAGTAGATCCGAATTGCCTAGTACTGTGCTCCATACTGAATATATCTTTAACAGAGGCTGATCTTCTGCCCTGCCTTGTCCTACTAGCCAACCTCTTTGACCAAAAATAAATAAATAAACAAACAAACAAACAAACAAACAAATAAATCACCGTAGACTTCTATCTAAAGGACAAATGCAGTGTCACTGCATGTGTGTGTGCAATCTTGAAAAGCTGAGCTCCTAGGGACCAGGAAGTGTAGGGGAGCCAGAGGGATGGAGAGAAACCAGTTAATGGTCACAGAAGTGAGCTCTGGCTGTTACACAACTCTGTTATAGAGGAGATGATTTTAGCTAACAACACTGCATCATGTAATTCAAAATAGCTGGAAGACAGGGCTTTGAATGTTCCCATCACAAATGAGTAAGTGTTTCAAATGATGGCTGACCTAAGTATTGCCAGTTGATCAACACACAAAGTATAAATGTATCAAAACAGCACACTTCACCTGTAAACATGTGCAAGTATCATATGTCAATTTCAAGAAAGACTTCCATACAACCTCTTCCACCCTGTGAAGGCCTGACTTCGATGGATCCAGTTATAAGTGAAAGCAGTGATTCCTATCAGGATGTGAGTTTCTTGAAGACAAAGCCATGACCTGTAACTTGGAACACAAAAGGGTTTTTGAGCCAGGTATCTTTCTATTGATCTAATGAGGTATCAATCCAAATGACTCGTGTCACTGAAGGTGCAATCTTGTTGGCATTCACCATCTGTCATTAAACATCAGGCTTGAGGACCAACAAAAAAATGGTGAACAGAGACAAACCCATATCATGGATGCTAAAATGAAAGCAAATACCCCTCCCACTACCTCCCACTTCTGCTGTTTCCTATGAACTAGTCAATACACTAAACACATTAACACATTATGAGTAATTCTCCCCACAGCTCTGCAAAGTGAAGCTCACTAGTGCTATATTCCAGAAAGGAAAATCAACGTTCAGAGATTTGATGACTTAGTAAGTAGTAAATAAATCCAGAATGCCTTAGCTAAGGTTTGATTTCAGAATGCTTACGTTGCAGTGTTTTAGCTCTGTACCCTGAAACTCAGAAGAAATGGAGATTCTGGACTTCTGAGGCAAAAAAGTGAAAGTAAAGAAAATCATTCATCCAGTTTTATAGAAATTTGAATAATAATTAAGATCCATATTATTATTCTTATTGCTGATAAACAACAATGACCAATGTTAATAAGAAACACACAAAAGATGTGTTTCGTTTTCACAATAGTGCTGTACACTGGCTACTACTACTTCTCTGAGTAGTAGATGTTGAAATGCAGAGAGGTAAATTATTTTTCCAAGTAACACACCATGAGCCTACACCCGAACCTCAGAGTTCTTCCTACCATACGCTTGGCCTTCATTTGCCATAGTATTTTGCTTATATTTCAATTAAAAACAAAAAAGATTAAGGAAAAGGTGAAGGTGTGAACTAACTACCATCTTTGGCCTAATTCCTTTCTGCTGAGGATTGTTTACTTGTTTTTCTTTCCAAACAGGATATCCTCTGAAACGTCACTCGGATAAAGAATATGTTGGATGAAGCAAGTCCTCTCAGTGAGCACACTCGGGCAAGAACTAGCATGCTTTTCTAACAGTCTTTTGTTTACTTGGTTTTCAGCATCTTTTTTCTTCCCTTTAATGTCTGTTTCCAACAGGGCAGCGACGGATCACTTTAAGAACTAGAATAGCTTTGGGGTCATTAACAGGTGCTGCAATTCATGCCTGGGCCACCAGTTCAGAGCCAAAGAAATCTGCTTGTTTCCTGCTAACCTTTAATTTCAAACAGCAAGACCTGACTAACATCTTTAAGCTACCACATCCCACCGTACAACAATTTCTCCATCCTGATTTACAGGTTCAGATGCTGGGTCACTGAAGATCATTAGCACTGAGAACGAGCAGGTGAGTAGTCGTCATTGACCCCAGTGACACAGGATGGGTCTCTTATGCATCAGGAGCAGGAGAGCTGGATAGGAGTGAGCAGGTAAAGTGGGATAGCATTTCCTTCTTAATAAATCTTTTTTAAGTTTGGGAACAGTGGAACTAAGCAAGTAGCAGAAGGAACAGCAAAAAAGTGACATGGTGATACAAGTGTGGCTTAAATTGGAAAGGACAGAAAGAATGAATGAATAGGACATTAGCTATTCATGGGACAAAGAAAGTCAAATGCCACATGTGTCAGCTTTGAAGACCAGAGAACTCTGGTTATGCAGGTGCAGGTCAAAGTAGAAGGCAGTTAATCCAGTACTCCATTATCCTTGATTGTTTTTTGACTTATTTTGTGTTAAGTATTGTCCTTAGGTATCATTAGGGAAAGATGGCGGAATCAGGTAGACTCAGCACTATCCACAGATGATATTCTGGTTCCTGGAGTGGATGAAAATGCACCAGTGTCCCCGCAGCTCAGTGTCCTTCTGTTTCGTCGTACCATGGGTTGCATTTTCCTCACTTTGTTCCCTCTTGGACCGCTGTTTCCTATTGGGCAAGAGTGAATGTTTTTATTTCACTGTTCTCGCTAACAAATAGTGACAAATGTAAGCCTCACTACAAACCTCTGAGATGTAATCAACCCCTCCCTCATTTTACAGATGAGGAAACTACCACAGGGAGGCCTATAAACATTTCCAAAGTTGCATAGTTTATTAGCAAAGTTAGAACTCAAGCTTAGACAGTATTGTCTAAGACTTGAGTACCAGCAACTACACAATGATTCTTGGTGATTCAATGCAGTTAAAATTGTCTTCCAAAAACACAACTTCAGTACAAGGCTTTCATTGTATTTGCAAGTGATTGTTAAGAGCAGACCCCACAAAACCCAAAACTGTTTTATATTACGAAACTAATTTCATTCCTAAGCCACTTAGATATAAGAATTATACTTTCTATAAATGAAAGATATTTTTCTTTTACCGACACCATGATGATTATTATAGAAATATAGATATTTTATAAAGAAATGTATTATTTTGTACATGTACTTAAGAAATGTACCTTTTTTCTTGGTTTTGTTCAAAAAGCTAAGAGCTAAATGTGTACCTCTGAGGTATGTTTAGTTTATAAATAACCAAAGACTTCTATATTACTACCACTATTTCTGGGCACTGAAACATTGTTTGTATTAATGAAAATGCTCATTCGGTTTGTGGAGTTTCAAAGTAGAAAGCAGAGGCTGTACTTTGGAGCTGAACATAAACATAATTGGAAAAGGTGATGATGAACTAAACCATGTTTACACAAGCATTGGAAATAATGGCTCTTGAGCACGGAGAATATTTTTCCCCTTTAAGTGGAATCTTGCACAGTACCCTATTGCTGCATTTCTTGTTGTCTTATTCACGCTATATATCTCCTTGCTAGATAGGAAATCTAGCTCATATCACCACCATTTTTCAAATCCATTTCACCTCTTGCTGGATGCTTGAGTGAAATAAAATCTAAAGATCTCTCAATTTATTTCATTATATTTTGAAATCAGAATCTCAACCACTGGCAATTAGAATGACAAACTTCTAAGCAAAGTGGAAGGTGTGAATGTGTGTGTGTGTGTGTGTGTGTGTGTGTGTGTGTTAAGAATGAATCATGTGTCCGCCAAGCCCAACCAAAATCTACTCACAGGACTGATAAAAGTTTTGGCACAGAGTCTGCTAAACATGATTTCCAAAGAGAAAAACGGAAGTGGACTTTCCTTCTACTGCGTATTTATTTACCAGTCAGTTATAGAAAACTCAAACTCATTTCAGGCTTCTGGAAAAGTAATCCAAATGATTTAACATCTCTTCTAGAGTGAGTGTGTATGGCTAGAATGCTAAATCTCACACATGGGAAAAAAGCACCTCTCTACATTTCCAGAAAAATAATTTTTGAAAAAAGATCATTTTGACTGGATTAGTTTGCTCAAGTTGCCATAACAAAATACAGCCCAGATGGCATTTGCCTTTCTCACAGTTTGAGGCTAGAAACCAAATGATTTGACCTCTCTTCCTGACACACAAACTGTCAGCTTCTACCTATGCCCCTACATAGTCTTTCCTAAGCATGTGATTGTGGAAGAAGAGCAGATCTTTCTTATTACAAGGACACTAATCCCATTATGAGGACCTCACCCTCATGACCTGCTGACCTAATCCTTGTAACTCTAATTACTCCCCCAAGGCCTTCTCCCATTAAACCATTGCATGGGTGTTAGGGTTTCAACACATGAGTTTGGGGAGGACACAAAGAGTCTGCTCATAGAACTGACCAAAAATGCTTTCCAGGAAAGCCAGTTAATAAGGGGTGAACAGATCAGCCTGTGACTCTTCTAAGATCTTTCTTATAATTTCATATCTTAATTTCCATCTCTGGTCTCAGTAAAACCATAAGCTTTCTACCAATTTATTCTAGATATCAGAGAAAGCACCAACCTGAAGAACAGCAGAGCAGTCATGATACTGTGCAGTAACTCCTGGAATATAGAGTCCTTGAAAAGGTTCTTCATTGTATAAAATAATCAGTTATCAATGAGAATATCTATTCTCCCTGTTCTGGCATGAGCCAATAATGTACCTACTAAATTCAATATGTCCACCCAAAAGACAGCTAACTGTGATAAATTAATCTGGTGGGTACTGTCCTCGAGTAGGAAGGATATGCAATGGATTCTTTGACTTCCCACAACAGGCCTGCAGATTGAAGTATTTTTCTAGGCATGCTCTTGAGCAACTATTTGCATGACATTCTGACATTTTCAGACTACTCCATGTGATGATGGCCAAACTGAACCTGTCTTCTGTGAGAAGGAGAAGAAGGAGAAGGAAGAGGAAGAAGAAGAAGAAGAAGAAGAAGAAGAAGAAGAAGAAGAAGAAGAAGAAGAAGAAGAAGAAGAAGGAGAAGGAGAAGGAGAAGGAGAAGGAGAAGGAGAAGGAGAAGGAGAAGGAGAAGGAGAAGGAGAAGGAGAAGGAGAGGGAGAGGGAGAGGGAGAGGGAGAGGGAGAGGGAGAGGGAGAGGGAGAGGGAGAGGGAGAGGGAGAGGGAGAGGGAGAGGGAGAGGGAGAGGGAGAGGAAGAAGAAGAAGAAGAAGAAGAAGAGGGGGAGGAGGAGGAAGAGGAAGAAGAAGAAGAGGAAGAGGAAGAGGAAAGCTTGCACAGCTAAAGAGATGGGTTTCCTATATAGGGTGAAAATTCTACTAAACTGATTTCTCCTAAGCTTTAGTCCTAACCAATCCCATTGCTACAGTACCTGAAAAGGAGCACTGTGTATAGAGTCCTTGGACTGCCTTCTGGAATATTAATGTACTCTTTATCATCTCAAACAAGATCATCCCAAACCAGGAATTAATCTCTCTGTTCCTCCCTCCCTATTCCTCCCTTCTCTCTTAACCCCTCACACCTCTCACTTCTCCCTCTTCCCCACTTTCCCCTTGTTCTCCGTGTCCTTCCCTTACTCCATCCCATCCACCCCACTATCTAAGAGTCTCTTCTATTGATGTCTGAATGAGTGGATGGGTGCACCTAAAATAGACACTTGTTGGACAGTGATTCTTGATCACCTGCATATAAAATTACTATCATAAGGAAACTAAAAGAATGACAATCCTAATGCTATTTAAAAATGTACAGTTCATGCCGTACCAAAATGTCTCCTGATATAAAGTTCCTTTCTGAGGCAATCTCACTATCTTGCATAATCATTTGAAAAGAACGCTGGTCTTTACATTCATATCCTCCCACTCCTGCCTCTATGTGAGCTGAAGATTCTATTCTGAATCCCAAGGTTTAGACCCATTATTCTTGGGTTCCCTGAACAGCTTCATAAAGTTTTATAATAGCAACTGCCCTACAGTGCTCATGCAACTTACAACCTGTTCCTTCATGAACCCTGTGTTTTGGGACAAAATGACCAGGTCACAGGATGTCAACTCATTTCCCTGCTGGTAATTCTCTGACCTATCTGAGAATGAAGAGAAGGAACACTGTGAAAAGATTAGTTGAATGATCACTAAAGCAATTAACCAGTGCATCTGATTAAACTATACTGTTATAACAAACTAGACTTCTTAAAGGACTTCAGGAGAGAAAATTCTTTTTGATAAGCTTGACTTCAAATTTACGTTTTTGCCAAATTCAATGATCAATTATCATTCATCTTCACACAGTTTGAGATATTGTTTCTTAAACTAAAAGCCTCCAACTTTTTTACTTTTGCCCTCTTGTATAATTAATAGTATGATAAAAATTAGAGTGATTTTTTTAAATTAAAAAAGTATTACAGTAAAAGACACATTGCAGTTAACCCCTCCAAAAGTTCCCCCTTCACTCCGAACACTTTGCCAGCTTTCTCAACCCTGTCAAAGGCAGTTCTAAAAGTCCTCTGTAGTCTGTGGCTGTGTTGTTGTGGCTGCCTGCTTCTCCTGAATCCATTCAAAAGTTTGCCTTTCGTGATCATTTTAACTCTGGGAAGCAGCCAGAAATTACGTGGAGCCAGAGCTGGAGAGTAAATGGCTGAGGACACACTGTGAGGTTTTTATTTGACAGACATTTCCATAAATGTTTGATCAATGTGCTGAGATCAAAAAATGCATTGAATGATTAAATTAAACATTGGTTACAGGCTGAGTATCCCTCGTTTGACACCCTACCTGTTTAATGACTATTCAGACTTGGTACTGAGGCTTACTGATCAGATCTACAACCTACCATTTACGTATGACCTGGCTTTTTGGGGAGTGGGATGGGGTCACGGTTCAGCACGTCTTGTTACAAAGCCTCAGTGTCTTGATTTTTCGTAAAGTACACCTTGCTTATATAATGCGATCATTTTTGCTGATTGTACTGGAGAGTACAAGCACTGTAGCTTTATGTTCTGTTACACATTGCATCACTGCCTTACTCTATATAAAAGCAAAGCAATGTCATCCAACTGGAGTTTCCTTTGACCATTTCTTCATTCTGAATAGTACAATATACATATGATATACTATTCCTCATTTCGGGATAAATTCAGTTGATGACCTAGCTGCAGGACTGGGACTCGGTCTTTAAGCGAGGAATGTCTGCAAAAGACCCATTGCCAATAACTTTCCTCTCAACACCCCTTCATACCTCATATGCCCTTAGGTTGCCTCAGAGCATCATTCCTGGCAATGCGTCTTTTATTGTAATAACATTTTAAAATTTAATCATTGATCATATTTTCATTCACCCCTTGTAACCCCTCTGTGTGAAACATTTTTGTCACTTACCCTAGATAACTCCTAGTACCATGCCTGGTACGGTCTCCTGACATCTTTCCTAACTTCTTCATTTTCCTATCCTGTGGCTATAAGCATGAGTATGCACACACCTTTGTATTGTGATGATTTTAGCTCTTTCAGGAAAATACTGAGAAAGAGAACAATTGGACAAATGAAATTTCTAGTTTTACTATTTTGGGGAATCTGCAAACTGATTTTCATAATGGTTGAACTAGTTTACATTCCATTAACAGCATACAATGCTTTCTTTTTATCCACAGCCTCACTGAGATTTGTGATTATTTCATTTTTTATGGCATCATCTTTTTGGGGTAAGATGGAATCCCAGTGTTGCTTCACTCTGCATTTCCCTAATGGCCAGTGATGTTGAACATTTCTTAACACATTTATTGTCTATTTGTACTTTTTCTGTAAAATGTCTGTTCATATTTTTGCCTAACTTTTGATTTGGTCTTTTGTTTTGGGGGCCTCTAATTTTTTTTAGACCAGGGATTGAACTCATGGCCTTGCCCTGGCAAGTGTTTGAGCCACTGAGCTAAATCCCTAGACTCTAATTTTTAAAAGATCTTTATTTATTCTAAATATTAGGCCTCTATTGAGGAATCCTTGGGAAAAAAATTCCTCTATTCTATAGGTTGTTTCTTCATTCTACTGTTTCTTTTTGCTGTGCAGAAGCTTTTTAATTTAATATGATCTCCATTTGTTTATTCTTGGAACTATTTCCTGTGCAACTGTAGTTCTCTACAGAAAGTTCTTGCCTATGCCTATGGTTTCAATGTTTTACCTACGTTTTCTTCCAGTAGGTTAAGTATTTCTGGTTTACCATTTTGTTCTTTGCTCCATTTTGATTTTAGTTTATCATATATAGCAAGACCCAGGCCTAAATTCAATTTTCTGGATGGGGAAAGTTCTCTAGGATCATATATTAAAGAGAGTATCTTTCCCAAGTATGTGTCTTTGGCCCTTTGCCAAAGATCAAATAGCTGAGTGTACTTGGAATTGTTTCTACTTTCATTATTGTGTTCTGCTGATCATTATGCCTGTTTTGTGCCAGTGTCATACTGTTTTTATCACAGTAGTTTTGTAACATAACTTCAGGTCCAGAACTGTGATGCCTCCTGCTCTGCTGTTTTTGCCTAGTATTGTTTTTGCTATTCTTGATTGCTTCTGATTCCATATGAATTTTAACATTGTTTTTTCCAGGTCTGCAAGCACATTATTATTAAAACCAATGTAAGTCTCATGGCTCTGCAACTCTGAAAGTAGTTATCTGCTTACAATATCACCAAAGCAGGGAGAATGTATATATAGTAAGGCATCCACACTGACAAAACAAACAACTCCAATTCCAAGGTCTTCACTCTTTTCATGATTATTGTGTTTCTAAATAGTTAACATTAAAACAGATTTTAAGTCCCTGGTTATTTCCTCAAACAAATATAATGAAACCAAAGAACTTAGTACCACTTTAACTTGTAATATCTCACAATTCTTTAAAACAAAGCATTTACAAATAAATTATGAGAATTAGGCAAACCATGCAGGGATCAGGAAGGGAGAAGCCAGTTTGCCCTTCCTGTGAGCTGACCAGCACATGGGCTAAGAATCAAGAAGCACCCCCAGCCCAGTAAGCAACCGGCTGGGTTGATAGTAGCTGAGGTACAAAAACAACTAAATGCTTGTATTGTTTTGCCAACTCTGCAGGCCTAAGGCTGGTGGCCTGAGCATCTATTAGGAGGATAACAGCATGCAGAATAGCAAATATGAGGGATTTTCTTCTGTCTTGTTTTTGAAATCCGGTATTGTTTCACTATTTAGTTTTGTTCTGATTTATTGTTTTATGTAATGTTCTGTTTTGATTGATTTTATTCTGTTTTGTTTTATTTGATTTTACTATGTATGACGATATGGACAACTATTGTGAAAATAAAAGATATATTATTATAGCCATTTTTGATTTCCTATTATCCTGTTTTAAAGTTCTGTACCACTTTCACTGTTTTATTTTGACTGGCTTTATTCTGCTTTATTTTGCTAGGTTTCACTCTCTTAAAATAAAATAAAATTATAATTAATAGTGCCCTCATTTGGAAATTATTTAAAGCATTTTTTAAAAGATAACAAAAAACTAAAAATAAATTTTGGGGTTAAAGAACAAAGTCACATACACTGTTCTCAAAAACAGCATAAAGAAAGTGATTTCACTTAAACTGAATTGCCCATATTTGTTAAGTGGAAGAGCTAAACAGAAAACCAGTTATGGAAGATTGACATAAAAGATAAGAGATTGTTGTATCAGAAACTCTGGAAGCAAAGATAGAATTTAATTTTAACCAAAAATAATCAATGCCTTATATTGCAAACTTAGTTTCTATCAGATAAAGAATATTCTTTTCTCTTCTTACTCCAGAAAGAATGGCCATCATCAAGAGACTGAGTAATAACAGCTGCTGGCAAGGCTGACGGTGGGACTGTGAAGTTTCACACTGCTGGTGGGAATGTGTTATGGCTGTGTCTAGATGTCCCCCAAAGCCTCATGCAGTCACAGTGGGGCTTTCTCAGGGGTGGCTGGGTCTCCAGTGAGTGACTCTTCGGTTGATTCAGAGGACAATGCCAGGTCCAAGGGCACTAGGATTACGCGGTTGAGTACTACCTTCCCTAATTGCCCTGGATAAGATAGAAGGGGCAGAAAGAGCTGTGGTCATCCTTTCTTGCTTTGGTATTTTCTGTCTGCCAAGAACTGTTTCTCCATTGCAATGCCCCTCTGCCCTGCCACCCTGTGTTGGAGTGAGAGGATTATAGACTAAAACCTCTACAAACTGTGAGTTAAATATTCTTTTCCCTTTAAACTTTGGTTGTCAGATATTTTGTCTCAGCAATGAGAGAAAAGTAACTAAGACAGAAATGTAAACTAGTACAACTGCCATGGAAATCAATATGAAGATTTCTCAAAAAATTAAAACAGAAAATTCCATTTGAACCAGAAACTCCCTTTCTGCTCATTTGGCCAAAGAGTTACAGTCATCATATTACAGGGATATACACATGCCCTTGTTTAAAGTGGCACAATTTATCATGGCTAAATCTTGAAAGTGGCCTATATACCCATCAACAGATGAATGAATAAAGAAAATATGCTATTTATATACAGTGGACAGTGGAGTACTAATCTGCAATAAAGCAAGATAAACTGGGGGCATTCATAGATAAATAGATGCCCCTTGTGACCATAACATTACATGAAATACATCAGACACATGAGATTAAATTGTTTCTTTTATGAGAAACCCCAAATATAAAGAGCAAAGTGAAAAAATAGATAACAGAAAGTAGAGAAATCTTTTTAAAATGACAAAGGAAATAAGAGATGGAAGAGGAAAGGAAATGGAATTTTTAAAAGGAGTTAAATGATGGGCTCTGGGGCTGGAGGCAGAGAGAGTAGCATCAGAGTGGACGGCCCAGTGATTTGGTCAGAGGGTCGGTCAAGGATGGCAAGCAAATGACAGAAGTCAGGCTGAGAGTGCAGACAAGGTTAATTGGCATCAAAGTTCGTGTTGGAAGCTTGATCCTCACTGTGAGACACTGGAAGATGGAAACTTAAGAGATGCCACCACAGTTACAGTGCTGCCCACTGTCCACCCTGAGGCCCTCACCAGAGCAGAGCCCATTTTGGCACATTTGCCTTTAAATCTCTGGACTGTCTGTTAAATAAATCCTTTTTCTTTAAAAAAAAGTTAGTCTTAGCCTCCCTCTGGCACTAGCCAAGTGGAGAACTGTTCAGTGGCTTCTGAGATCTGGCCATCTGGCCATCAGTGGCTTCTGAGATCTGGAACTTAGGCGGCTGCACAAGAAAGCCATTTGCCTGCTCTCTTGGTAAGTGCATCCCTCTGGTGCAAGCCAGGAGGAGAACCAGTCAGAGGCTCCTGTGAGCCTACCCCTGCCCTATTATCAACTCTTGGAAGGATGACCTTATGCAATATAGCAAATACAGGGAATTTCCTTCTATCTTCTGTTTGAAGACGAATGTTATTTTCACTGTTTTGTTTCATTATGATTGTTTTGCTCCATTCAATATTCTTCTTCAATTGATTTTATAATATTCTGTTTTTGGTTTGATTTGGTTGCACCTAATTGACAGGACAACTATTATAAATATAATAAGATATACTATGGTACCTATTACTGTTATCCCGGTATCCTGCTGTGAAGTTCTGTACCAGTTTCACTGTACTGTCTTGATTGGCTTTGTTCCATCTTGTTCTCTTGTATTTTTACTACCTTCAAAATAAAAAAGTAAAGAAAAAAAAGAATTAAATAAAAAAAAAAAAAGGAGATAGAGTTTTGCAAACGGAAAGGGGACCCAGAGATGAAAGGGGCAGGGAATATGGGAGGGATAGGAAAGAATGAAAATGTGTTATGTACATGAACCAACTCCTCATGATAAATGTAATTGCTAAGTACTGAAAATGTATACCATAAAAATTAACAACAAAAAACTCGCTTTGCTCATCTGTAAAATGGGGCCATGGTAATATTCCCTCCTCCATGATGAAGAAGGACAAATTTAACATGACCACTCAGAGCTCACCTTGAAAGAGTGAAAACTGAAAAAGCACACTACTGGGAATCACACTGTAGAAAAGTCCTGTCCAAATGGAAGGTTGAATGTTAAATCTATTCTAGTTATGACACAGCTGTGGGGTGACGTGGTAGTCAATGAGTGAATTACTGTTCATGAAAGAGTCCCCACGGATCAAACAGGGGAGGTTTGCAACACATAAAAAGCTGCTGGAACTTGGAAAAGCAAAGTTGGAAAATGCTCTGTGAGTCACATAAACCAGTGAATTCACACTGCCATGAACCTCTAGCGAGCTACTGTGGAGTCTTGCCTCACAGATAGTGTTGCTTCTAGTGTACCTTTATTTTGGGAGAGATTGCAGAGAAGCATTTCCAAAGATGGGGCACCTGGAACACAACCCTGATGACGTGGGTGGCACAGCAGGTCCTTCCAGATGAATGGTGACCCTGTGCTGTGGCAAGAGACTGTGGAGATGAGTCGGAGGCCTCGTGAAAATGACTCACAAGTGATCCCCAGAGTGGAGCCGTTGCTGTCAGTGCGTCTGCCTGGGTGTTCTGCATTACCAGCAGGTCTCTCCCGAACCCTCGGAAGGAAGCTGAGGAAGGTGCTGCGCAGTCTTCTCTTTCCTAGTGAGCTTACAGCCAGCAGCCACTCTTCTGTGGGGTCGGCGGTGTGCACCGAGTGGGTTTCCTCACTATTCCCTGCTGAAACTTCTCAAAAACCATTGAGCTGGTTTCTCAAAATCAGGAATGAACGTTTCAAGAGTTGTAGCATAGGTCTCAAGATGGGAATTCTCGAAACAAGGCAGTATCAGGGCAGCAAGTTTCCTTGTCCTTCTCTTACAACTTGGGAATGACTTAGGCATAAGAGAAGCAACTTCCTGGCTTCCCATTTCAGTCCTTGAGTTTTATACTTGACTCTGGTCAGTTATTCCTTTGAAAAACTCAGGAACGCAGGTGTCTATTGATTTCACTGTTTGAATCAAAGAAACAGAGTGATGAAGAATTAGTTTCCATCTGGCTGCTATTTTAAAATATTTTAAATACCTCATGGTTCACCTCCTTCTATATAAAACATACACCTTAATGCCAATCGATGAACCACCCACAGGTGCCTCTTCATTTCCTCTGCTCCTCCAAACAGAGAGGGTTCAGCTCACAGACGGTAGGTAGACAAGATGGTGAGAGGAGAGCTGTCAGTTTGCTCACCTGCTTGTTTGTTTTGTGCTGCCGAGGGTCAAACCACGACCCTCAAGCACGCTTGCATAAGCAAGCCTCTCCTCCTCAGTTATAGCCCCAGCCCTGTTATTTTTTTAATCATCAGTGCAGCGGCTGTCAACCCAGTCAGCCAGTGTGACCAGTGCCTGTGGAGGCCTGAGCCCCTGTGCAGGAAGAAAAAGTGACTCCTGCATCCCTCTCCAGCCTCCCAGGAACCCACTTCACCAAAACTTCTACATTTCTTTTTTCAAATGGAAAGTTTAATAATAATATTTTTAAGATTTGGTAGAGACATAATTCCCTCTTCATTGAAAACTTTCTAGAAGCATTTCAGTTTTTGAGTTCAGGGAAAATCTATCCTTTAAAAAAAAAAAGACAGAAAGTCTAGACATAGTTCTAAGAATTCAAGACTTACACTTTTAAAAAGAACATTTTCCCCCTGCAAATCAGCCTGAAAATGGGGAGGGGATGCCCTTCATTTTCTGCAAATCTGGAGTAAAATTTTACATTACACTGGTCTTTTTCCATTCCATTCCCACTATCTCAAGGCCCAGAAATCCAACTTGGTTTTTAAATCTTTCCATAACCTTGTCAAATCATTCATATTACAATGTGGGAACAAAGGAACACAGTTTTATTGTTTTTTCAAGTTCAAACTTAACATGTGCTGTCCACAAAGCGAGGAGCGCCTATCCTGAAGAAAATGATTCAAACTGCTGGTGAAAGAGTGACATTCATCTGCTAAGTGGACCATGGGCTGCAGTCCTTACTTTATGCTTTGCTGGTCTCTTTGAGCTGCAGTTTCCAATCTGTTGTGTAGCAGAACTGGCTTCGAGCTCTAGCAATTCCCACAGCAGCCCCATGGTTTTTACCCAATCAGTGGCAGCAGATACTATGTAATATTTACACTGTAGTATTCACTGCACTGATTTTTACTTAACATTTGTTTTAAGCCAATTCTTTTTTTCATTTTCAACTTAAATAAGTGCGTTTTAAAAGGCAACTTTGCATCTTTGCCATTAAAAGAAGTGTCATCCATATCGATGGCAATCTGAAATTTTTTAATTTAATGAAAGCCATACAGTATTATTAAATTCTAGCTCTACATAGTTGTCTGCTGAAGATTCTGAGCCTGAGGCTTGTCGTCTATTTCTTTAAAAGGAAGATAAAAGTGTTAGAGAGTTCTTTGTTAGCACCAGACGGAGACTTTCTTCTTGATATAATTAGAAGTCTCAAAAAAAAAAAAAAAAAAAAAACCCTGAAAAGAAGCTAATTTTCCCATTGTGTTATTCACTACTCATATGTTTCCTAAAATTCTCTTGTACACACTAGTGGAACACAACCCTCACCCTGGAAAAGCACTGGGCCAGATTATGTACAAGGGTTCTTCTAGGTCGTTACATTGCACACTGGTAACTTCAGTTTATAGACACACAAAAGAAGCCAAGGTGTTTTTCCATTCTGGAGCTTCAGAAAGAAAAAACACAACCTCATGTTGCAGCAGGAGCTGACTTCTCTCTGCACCATGACTTTGGGAAACTCATTCAGACCTGGGGAGGGAGTGAGCACGCAGGACTAAGAACAGCGACTAGGATCCACCTGGTCCAGTTGATTCAGTCGTCGCCAAAGACCTTTATTATTTAACCATCAGATTGAAAAGCATCATTGAATCAGTCCACACTATTTGGTCAGAGCTGAGAAGCAAGTGCTGGGGTCAGCTTGACAGAGTAGATGTACTTATAAAAAGAATTTATGCAGTTTTTGGGTAATATTGCCAAACTTACTCAACCCTCTGTTACTTGTCCTGGCAGTGATCATTCACATGGTGAAAACCAGCTTCTAAATAGGGGAAAAAATAGCCATTTCCATAGAAGCAAATGAGGTAACTTTTGTGAGCAGTTATTGCTATCAGCTTGTACAATTAGACACAAAGCAAAGCCTCCGTTCAAAAACCTTACTTTCTCCTTTGTAGAGAGCTGCTGGAGTTACACAAATGACTAAAGCTTTGAATCTTTTCATTATCTAACATGGAACTAAAATGAATAATTAAAGCCGATTCACAGAGAACAGAGCCATGGAAAATTAGTGGGAAATTCATTGTTATTTTTTGACTTCCACTACCAACATAAAATACCACAATGGCAATTGAGATATCAATATTTTTTAATAATCTATTTTGCTCGACAGAAACTCCAAGGAAAGTCTATCCATTTGCCTCAGTCTCACAGGCAACGTCTTTCACGCAGCTGAATTTGGCGCTCACTGTTTCAGACTTCCATCCACTTCTGAGAGGCAGCTGAGGTTCACTTTCAAGACAGTCTTAGCAAGTTGCTGTGGCACTTAGCATTGCAAGAGAGAATTTTTAGTTAGTACGGATAAGGTGGATCCATGAACCCAGCCCACTGATACTGCACCCACTGCACTTGCAAAACAGGAACCTAGGTTAGTGTCCTTAAATTCAGTGACATGGTGTTTTGGAGACCCCTGACCTAGGAATCAGGACCCGTGGGTTCCAGGTCCGGTTCCATCACTGAATGACAATAATCAACTCTATAGTGTCTGCTGATTCTCAGTGTTCCCATCCTGAAAGAAAAGATAAGGGATTCGCACAGCTGTTTCTTGTTTACGATTCAGGGATCCCACCTACTTCTTGTAGTGTGATAGTGAGGGGCAGTAATCAGAGTAGTGTGGAATAATTCTAACATAGTGAGTCAGTCTGGAAAAAAGGGTTTCAGAAACACCAGGCAGCATAAACTGTCATCAATGTCATGCACCTTACTATGGAATTAATAATATACCCACAATTGTGTATATAATATGTTTCTAATTTGCTAGTTAACTCATTGTGCTATGTAGTCACTTCCTGGAAGCTAGAGAATAAATAGACATGGACCTAACCATTATTAAGCAATTGATCTTCAAACATACCTGCATTAATATTTTATTGATTGCATTTCATTTTAATTGCAGTGTGGCTGAAATTCCAGAGGGATAAATATGTCTCTTTATTTGAGGACTCCACAGAACAGTAGCTTTGAAACATATATCATTAGAATAAACATAGACTGTTACCCAACAATTATGTATAAAAATGTCTGTAGTAACTGCAGTATTATAAGTCTTCATGTAAAATCAGTAGTTTATATCAAGCTTCACAGGAAGCAAACATGCAAACTCTTCCAATATCTAGAGGACTAGCCGAGAAAACCCACCCAACTTTTGTTCACTTAAGGTCTTTACTTTTCCATAGCAGCTTTAACCAACAACCTACAACCATGAGCCAGAGTCTGTTTTCTAGACATTTTGACACAAACGGGAAGAATATACTTATTTACCTTAATGTGGGCCAGAATGTGAGCATTTGTAATTGTATAGTTTTTAACTGTAACTTTCCATGTTCCAAGAGAAATGGTCTGACTTTAAGAAATGTTGCAGGTAGCAGTAATGTGGGTCAGGCTGTGTCCTGGAATTCACTCATTCTCAATAGTTAACTGGTAAACTTCCGTGAGATTCCATGGCTGAATTTGTTATTGAAGTTACTGCAGAGAAATGATTTTCAATTTAGTAATTGACTCAGTCAACAAAGTAGGAGTCTGCTACATGAGAAACACAGTCAACTCATGTGCTTTGCTTATCTGACTGTTTTTCCAGTGTGATCAGATAAAAACAACTGCCCCAACCATGAAGCTGTATTCCTGAACCAACTATCAGCCTGCTTCTGCAGAGACAAGAAACAAGAAATCAGAGCCTAGGAACCAAAAGGTTCTACATTAAAGATCCCAAGATTCCTTCCAGCTCTGCAGCGTCTCACTTTCCTGGGTTATATATTTTTCCATGCCTGATTTTCCTCATTGAGAGGAGGCCGCACAGCACTGCCTTCGAGGCCAGACAAATTTGCTTTTGAAACCATCCTTCCTCACTTACTAGCTGTGGAACTTGGGCAAGTTTTTAAAACCTCTTTAAGGCTAAGTTTTGTCTTCTCTAAGTTTTCCAACTTATGCTGCAGGGATAAAATGAGATAATGTGGGTAAAGCTCTTAGTACCGCGCCTGGCAAATGATAAGCACTCAGGAAAGTGTAGCTTCAATTTAATCTTGTCATTAACAGAGCATAGAGATGACAGATGAACTAAGATTTATTAAGTTCCTAGGGCTCCTTGGGCAAAAAAGAGGCTCTAGAAATTACCCTCTTCCCATTCTCCCTCCCCACTCTCACCCACTACAAGTTCCTTCTTTATAGGTTTGAAAGCTAATTCCCTAGCTCATGGGCCATCTTTTTCTCTTATCTCCTCTTTCTAATTCCGATGATCCTTTTTAGAACTATCACTGTGCATCAGAGACACCATCAGCAGAGAAAAGTGAAGTGGGGAAAGTAAAGGCATTACGTAACTATTATTTAGTGGACGTCTTTAAGTGGCAGGATTAATAATAGTTTTAATCCTCTTGATTTTCTTTTTTTTTATTTTGCAAATGTGAATATTGACATGTTATTGCTTTTTTAAAGAAAAAGACTCAGTTAAAAAAGTATGCACAGCTGAGGGAAGTTACTCATTAAGCTCAAAAAAGAAGCAGGTGTAAAGAATTGTGTGAAATAACTGAAATCAGTGGAGCAGACAATGCGTACGAAGGGAAAATCATTTCGGTGAAAATTCCAGGGCGTGGTGTGAGAAGACATCGGATTACACTGTGGCTCAGTACAGTGATCCAGTTGTTGTGTGATTGTGGTCACTTAATCTTCCTAGAGCTCGTTTCTCTCA